CAAAACTAATTTAAAATGTTTATTGAGGCCTTTTTCTGACTCCTTTTTTTGCAACAACAGACATCCCTCGTTGCACAATTTCAGAGAGAGTGGGTTTTAAACACTTCCCTATAGGCTTCATTATTTAAGTTAATTTCTTATGTAAACTTCATAAAAATGTACAGAGATGAGCTACTTTACATGTTTGTCAGCAATACATAAAGTTATTTCTCAGTGTGTTTTCTCACATAATGGGGTGACAGCCATAATCCTCCTGTAGTCTGCACCACATCCCAAACCTTGAGCACACCTGTGTGGCCTGACTCCACACCTTTCACACAATCTAATGGTACTGCATCATTCTAACTTCAGTATTTCAATGTCTTTCTTACCTATAGAAGCCAGCCAATTCATTCAGGAAACAGCTGATGTCTTTGAAAGCAGCACGTCACGCTCTGAATTGAGGCGTTAATACTTGGCAGTCACTTGTCCCTGGTGGTTTCTCCTATCTGCTCTGACACAGGCTCACAGCTGCCCCTCTGGGCTTGGGCTTTTTTTTTTTTTTTTTTTTGATGGTAGAGATCGTAATGAAGTCCGCTAATCTCCAACGGCACTGTCTGCGAACTCATAATAGAGAAAACACATTAGACACGCTCCCGTTTCAATCACTGCACTGCGGAGACAGACGGCGTCTCAGCAGGAGTCGACTCTATCCCCGCCAAGAAGCGCCGGTCGTCTGTCAGTCATCTGCCTTTAGGTCATTTATTCATCTATATTATGGAGGCGTTTGGCTCGACACTCCAGCAATTTGTGGACCCTATTCAAGAAATAATCCAAAATATTTTCCACTCTGCTGTGCTTTGGTGGGAATACAACAACACCTCCTTCAAGTAGAGTTCGACTGATAGAGCTGTTTGGCAGGGGTCTCCACCATCCCAGAAATGTCACCTCATTGTCTTTGTTTTCCAATATGCATTAGTACCAAAACTTTCTTTTTCAAATCCGTAGATAACAATACTTTAAGCACTTTTTGCAGCAGATATTGGTTGCCAATAAAGCAGTTAAAATATCTAATAATAGAAACAGAAAAGTTCTTTATTAATTCCAGATTAAAGTACCTCTAAATCAGCTGCCACATTGGTTATCGGTCAATTTCCTCCTCTCTCCAATCGGCCTCAAATTTACAAAATCAATCTGGCTGTACTTCCAGGGATACCGTCACCTTTATATACATATAAACACCCACTGAGCACTACAGTTAATAGTTATCACCAGTGTAGCATGCACATGGCATAAACTCTGCAAGTTTACAAGAGGAAATGACATCACTGATCAATGAAAGGGTGATTTCAATTAAAGGGAAACACTCTGACGGGGAATAGCTTGTTAAGTCTGAGAGCGCTCCTACACCAAAGTGCATCAACAGCAAGGAGTCCTTGTAAGCCATGTCCACTTGTTATTTTCACTAGAGACAGTAAGATAGAGCTCTTTCACTCTTTCTTCTATTTCTACCAATTAAAGTGCGACTGAAAAATGCAGCTGTTTGCGTTCACACTTGCAGCTCAATCCGAAAAATGTCAGCAGTTTTTTTAAGGAGTTTTGTGCAAGTGTGAAAAAGGCTAAACTCTGCACAGATCAGTTGAAGCTTTTTCCACATGTGGTTCAACAAAATATTGTAAAACCTACTTTGTTGAAGCTTATGGAACACTACAAAGAGTAAAATCAAATGTTCGCTCCATAGACTGTGGACATAGCCTGCTTTGTTTGGTAATTGAAGTCAATGCACAGGTGCCTTAAACCTGCTGTCTTTCTAATGGCCAAAACTCGGCAACTCCAGGTGCTTCAAAATAAGGGATTGTGTAGAAGTGAATGACAAAAACGACCATTCTCTCTCTGTGATTTGCAAAATCAGTAAACAGAGAGAAAGTAAGAGCATTTTAGGCCAAAATATACAAAGCAGGGTATGCTTTATGATTCGCTAGCTTTTGATGGACAAGATGCTACTATCTTGATCTGACAGCTGTGCCCTAAAAGCTTCCTTTGAAAGGACCCAGCTTTTCGCAGCCTGTGTGGTCCGCTCAGGGTTAACTTCCTGCGGACTTCATTAGAAATCCCCTGTTTGTCATAAGTTGTTCCCGCTCTTACATATCATTGCTAAGCGCCAATCCAGTCAATTAGCAGCCATGACAGCTGCACCAGAACTAGCTTACATAACCGATGTCATGTAACTTAACCATTTTAAAGATGATATGACGTTTAAAGGAGCCTTTCTTTTTTTAACATTTGTATAAGCAGCTTTTTCGGCTGAGTTCAAATAAATTGCTAACATTAAGAAGTGTAATTGTTAGTTGCTAGAAGGTCCGATATGTTGTGCCAAGGATGCACAGGACGGATTCTTCGTAGGCCGGGAGGCAACCTTCAGGAAGAGGCTGGATTACTATAGCTCTTCAAACGTGCCCCTTGAAGGATGCAGCCCCTCAATTGGACACAGCTACAGGCGTATTAATTCATATCCACTATCCAGTACCACCCTCTCTTTCTAATATGGTCACTTCTGGCTCAAAATAAAATGAAATAAAAGATGGTGATGTGCAAAATGGCAAACTCAAGGCTCCAAGAGGTCAGTCCCAGACCTGACAACACGGTGGCTCTTAAATACAGTTTGTGCGTTTAATTGTTCAAGATAGCAAACCAGAGGATCATCATCAGCTATCTGACTACAATCTGAGCAATGTTTTGTCTCCTCTTTGGTTCAGGCTGTAATGCTGTCAAATAAGAAGAAGAGTAATAAAAGTGACGTTTCTTTCAACTACAGCAGAATAAATAGATCAGAAGATGTTTTGTTTTCCTTTTCAGCCAATCAATGCATTTTTAAATCTAGTCACAGTGCATATTTATTTATGTACCAACACTTCTGAAAAAATGGTTTGACAACTGATGTTGCAACTCAGTGACGTGGACTTACACTGCATCCATGCAATGAAAATATCTGCGTCCGTACAGTCAAGAAAAAAACATTGTGATAGAGTCAAAAAAGTGTGGGATGTCATAGCTAAAAAAAAAAAAAAAAGTAGGGTCCTATAGTTATCAGCCTGACATATTTCTGATGACATATAACCAAATGTCATGATGCTGGCCTGTGAAAGAGTTCAAGCGATATCTGGAATTAGATAAAAAGGGGTCTTATAGTTTCTGAGATAAATCCACTTATTTGTGATGGTTTGGCTGCTGGCTGCGAAATAGACAGCCCATTTAGGAGACACTTTGCGGTGTGAATGGGTCAATTGTAATGCATATTAGCATGTGTCAGTGGAGGGGGGAGCTGGGTTCCATAGTTGCAGTTTCTTTCATGCACAGGCTGAAAACAAAGAGCAGCACAAAGGAGTCTGCCCTCATGAACAGGATGTTGTCTGCAGCTCCATCTCTCTGTCTCTATGTTAGGACACATGGGAGTGAACATGCACACATGACTCCTGCCATGTGCCTGCCTGTCCTCATGGCCGTTAAAATTACATTTCTGCCAATCACTCAATATTACAGGCAGACGAGTGTGAACAGCGGGCAGCAGCAGGATATATGAGAGGGGAGCCGTTTTTTATGAAGACCACTGAAGAGGTCAAGGGGTGATCAAACAAGATTAAAGAAACTGCTTTTAGATCATATATTGATGGACTTCATTAAGCCTGCTGGGTATTAGATTTTCTGAGCCTGGTATAGAGTCACAGCCATACGTTTTATTTTTACTCCGCTCTCCCGGGATGTTGAGAGAATTTCTCCAGATCTCGAGAAAAAAAACAGCGTTGTTATCCGAAATAAAGAGAATTAATAAGTTGTGACCTGAAGAAGACAACCAAAATGTATACTTAGGGAAGAGCTTATACAACCTGGCAGACAATACAGAGTACACCCCCCTCCCCAATGCAAAGTGAACCCTCTTAAATACCTGTTGGTGCCCACCTACATCAGAAATTTGAATAAGGTTTCTTAAGTTTTTACGGGTTGTGCAATAGTGTCATGGGGTTTTATTTTTTGCGTATCTTTTTTTGTCTTTCTCTCTTCACTTATGTTCTTTTTAATGTAAATACTGTGAAAACTACCTCATGTTTACTTCAGCATCTTTGCACTATTACCTTATATCATCCTATTTCGCCTTGTACATATTAGTCTTTGCTTATTTGTTTATTTTTGTGTTTATTGTTGATATTTAATGTTACACCTTTGTACAAAGAGAGCACAGTTTAGCAAAGTCAAATTCCTTGTGTGTTTAAGCATACCTGGCCAATAAAGCTGATTCTGATGTTCTTGTGCGGTATCAGTCATATGCATCATATGGTTAGTGGCTTTCATCAGTATGTGCTGCTCTGTTAACCAGTTGATATTTGTTTGTTTCTATAGTTCTTACTTATTGAGTCTACTGTGGAGTGAGATATATGTATGCAACACTAGGAGTACAATAAAGTGTATCGTGTTGTATTGTATCATATCGTGTCTTGATGTATAAATGCAGTGCCTTAGAAATGGCAAGATAGAGGCTTAGACTGATAACCGTAATAAAACATATATATGTATATAAAAATGTAATATTTAATCAATGTAGTGTATGTAACTGTTCCCCAAATCAGATATAAAGACAATAAATATCATCGTTCAACTGTTTTTGATATTTGATATTATGATGTCAATTTTACTTTAATATGGTTTAAAGAACATTTTCTACTGCGAAGTGTTTTATTGTCAATTTGTGACATTATAAAAACCATTAAGAAGCCATACTGCATCACTACCAACCACTTCAATGTTCCTGTGTTGTAGTGTAACAAGAAAAATGTGTCAGAGGTGTTTCAACATAGTGATTGATAGATTCCTTTCCTCTCTATTTTATTTCAACACTATTGCATTAAGTGGTGTTTACAATTCTGTAATAACTTTCCTTAAACTTTATCACTGGATTTTATCTCTGAGTTTCATCAGAGGTGAGATGTTGACAGCCAAAACACTGATATTTGTATTTTTTTTTTTACCGTCGACGTTCTCCCTGTCGCTGATGTGCTGCAGGTTACATCCCGTCTCCTCCCTGCTCAGATCCGACTCCTGGTGGTACGACTCCAGCCTGGAGTGAGCATTTCTGCGGAGCTTGGGGCTGGCAGACACGCAGCAGGAGGTCGTGCTCCCCATCTCTTTTTTTTTTTACTCCGTATCGACCCCACAGGTTCAATAATCCGTGAATGAACGAGTTTTTGGGTTTTTTTTTGACGATGGGTCACCAACCCCGCACGCACCCGAGGCGAGCCCGGTCACCACAGAGCAGCGCAGCGCAAAGGGTGCATCCGAACAGCAGCGCCCATGGGTCCTCCTGTCAATCGTTATAGAGATCCACGGAGACGAGGCTGTCACATAGAGGATGAATATATGTCACATCCAGCAGCAAGTACCGGATGTATGTTACATGATGCAGAGTAAAATGAGGACGCGTCCTGCTCCGGGGCAGGAGGAGAGGAGAGGAGAGGAGAGAGGGGCGCACACGGTGCTGCCTCTGTGGTCGGTGTTGTGGCTGCTGCTGTCAGGGCGATAGACCGACAGGGAGGGCTGCAAACCCGAGAGAAAGGTTCCGGTTCAAGTGGGAGGTTACCAACAACAGATCAGGGAAGATAGGCTACACAAGAGAAAGCCTTATCAGCATTTAATCACAAAAGCATCTCTCTCCTGTAATGACCTATTTGTGTTGTGTGTTTCTTTCCCAATTAATAATAAACGAGTCTAAATATGTTTTTTTTTTATAGATTGGTAAAAGTTAGGGCAGCATGTTGCCCATTTGTTTGACCAAAAATATTCTGCCCTTAAAGATTCAGTGAAGTAATCTACAATATTGCTATTTGATGACAAGCAATGGTGCTACATGTTCATTTATTGTAATAATTAAATTATTTATAAGAAAATTGAAGGTCTTTATTTTTTATAGCTCATATGCCTACAAGAAAATATCCGCAAAGTGCTTTAAGATAAATAGTCTACATGCTTAATGTGCTTGACTTAAAATAGAATATTTAACTAAATATTGAGTGCCAATAATAGGTCGAGAAAAATACAATTCATTTATCTGCAAAACTCAATCACTTTATTGGGAAATGTTCCCCTATCCGTTTTTAATTGATTTAACAGATGCTGTAGGTGTGAAATACATCTTATTGGTCAGTTTTTGGTGGGTGGAGTCAAAGAAGGACTAAAGAACAAAGTAAAGACTTTCTCTCAGTCAGTGAAAACACTGTAGATTTCATTGATTGATTGATTGGTTTGTCAATTCGTTCTTCTAAAGTGTTAATATAGTCGTCCAAATCTGCAGTTAACAAAAAACAAAATAAATAGAGACACATCCTCTGGTATCAGATTTATAAAACCATGCATCCACACTATGGACTATTTTTTGGAACAGATGGAGAATTTGGGTCTTTAATGTAAGGACATTGCATTAGTGCACAAAAAGGAATCAAGACTTAAAAAATGTTTATTCTACTTAAAATCCACCCAATAACCCAATTTCATTTGTAAAGTAAAAAAAAAACATTTTAGAGAAATGTTTCTAAGCATTTCATAATTAAAATAGTGACATCTGCTGGTGTGGTTATGTATTTTGTAAGACCTGTGATGTTAGAAAGTAAAACAATGGAACCAAATTGGACCTCGTGATTTTTGGAAACATTGTCAAATGTCATCAATTTATATTTGATGAGAAATTTGGGTTGCCTTAAAATGTTAAATTACCTGAACTTAAAAAAGATAAGTTGAGATACATTTGTGATTATTCCAAAGAAATAAAATGTTTTATAGTCAAATAAACTTTACATCAAGTCAGTTGTACTTAAATCTTTAAGTTCACAAAACTTCTGAACACAACTCAGTTCCTGTGAAATTATCTCGTTATCTAGTTGAGGCAAAATGCTCTTTCAATTTCTTTTGACTTGAAATCCAAAGCTAAGATACTTTATCAAAAGTTGAGTCCATCTAAAATATTGAGTTAAATGAATTAATCAATTTAAATTGAATATATATTTATATTTTAGTCAACTTAAATCAGTTCAGCGTATACATTTTTAGTGATTCTCTTTTCTTTTGTGGAAACTTTCAACTTCCTTTCAAATACAAATTTAAAAAAAGGTATAATCTCTACAGGTTATTCAATTTATCATAGAAACCAACCAACTTTAGTTCTTCAACCTTTGATATCAAATCAAATAGCACATCTAAACATTTACAAATGTTTTTACCACTAGTTTGTAAAAACATTTCCACCCAAGAATGTGCAAAAAATAAGTTGTCCTTCTTTTGCTGCATTTATCATTATCGGTCACTTTTATCAGTATTTTCAGATGCAATAAACGTATAAAATCAGGTAATTTACACATTTAATGAGGTGATATTACTGTGGTAACACAAACATTTCAGAAAAGATCTGTGAGACAATGTCCAAATATTTCTTGGAAGCTTTCAGAAAACTCCTGACCTCACAGAAGAAGTCTTTTTCTCAGTCCATGGACCCTTGAAGGGGGCAGCGGTCACCACCGATATTCAATAGGTTCTTCTGTATGACTTTAAATGTATACTGTACTTCCTTTTGGGCAATGTTAATTGCATACAGCAGACCCATGAACATAGCTACCATATGCTACCAATAGTCCTTCATACCTCATCTTCTATCACCAGGAGGATGCTGACGTTCATATGCTTTATTATGTCGTCCTCAGTGTCTGTAGATTTACAAAAGACAGAAAAAAGATATAGCTGTAAATTGTTTGTAATACTCTCTGAGAAATAACATTTTTAGCCGACAGATCCCCCTATAATCCTTTACTCTGTGAGTGAACTGAGCACAGACACAAAAAACAGCCTATGAGTCACTTAGTTACTGCTGGCTGCTGTTTTCTATTATTGATTCTAATAACATTTAATTCACTAACTACTTACGACTCGCTTTTGCTGTTTGTGTGAGAAGCTTCAAATCAATGTGAGTATGAGAAGAATGCCAATCTGTCCGTGGTCAGCCCCGCCGTGCATGCTCTGAGCGTGACAGAGTGTGGAGGCGGGGAGCAGGCTTCAGTGTTGCATACATACAAGCAGAATATTTGAAGACAAGAGGAAGAATTGCATTTATCTGCACAGAGAGGGCTCATCGTCATCACAAGCTGCTTCAGAAAACACCGGTGGCAGCAAAGTGACGCCTGCACAGCAAGCATTACAAATACGTTTCCCAGCATGCAACACAGACATTTATGAGTTCAATGAATGACTTTCATGAAGCCTGCATTGCACTTTCACAACAGAGCAACCTCTAAGCTGCTGTACAAACAACATGCAGTACTGGGGGCAGAAAGCCTTCTCCAAACCCTCCGATTCAAAGAAGAGTTCATCTTGTAAAATCTGAAATGAGAAGTGTTTTTGAAAGAGAAATGTTCTCTGTTGTAAACAAGTCTCCCTCCCCCTCCCTCTTCTTCCTGCTCTCAGACACAGCAAGCTCCACTCTGACTCTATATTTCCTGGTTCCCTCCCCTTTAGATCTACAAGTTGAGGATGGGTGTCACCAACAAGAGCTGACGTTCACTGAACAAACACATGCTGTGCAGATCAGAGGTGGAGCTAGTCTGATTTCTCAGGAAGAGAAACTCAGACAGTTGTTGTTACCGAGAGGAGAAATGGCGCAGAAAGGAGTTCAACTGGGCAAGGAAACTATTTCTTGTTCCATCTGTCTGGATCTCCTGAAGGATCCGGTGACTACTACCTGTGGACACAGTTACTGTATGAACTGTATTAAAAGCCACTGGGATAAAGAGGATGAGAAGACAATCTACAGCTGCCCTCAGTGTAGGCAGACTTTCACACCGAGGCCTGTCCTGAGGAAAAACACCATGTTAGCAGTTTTAGTGGAGGAGCTGAAGAAGACTGGACTCCAAGCTGCTCCTGCTGATCACTGCTATGCTGGACCTGAAGATGTGGCCTGTGATGTCTGCACCGGGAGAAAACTGAAAGCCTGTAAGTCCTGTCTGCAGTGTCCGGCCTCTTACTGTGAGAAACATCTTCAGCCTCATTTTGAAGCAGCTCCATTAAAGAAACACAAGCTGGTGGAGCCCTCCATGAAGCTCCAGGAGAACGTCTGCTCTCGTCATAATGAGGAAATGAAAGTATTTTGTCGTACTGATCAGCAGTCTATCTGTCTCCTCTGTTTAATGGATGAACACAAAGGTCATGACACAGTCTCAGCTGCAGCAGAAAGGACAGAGAGGCAGAGAGAGCTCGGGGTGAGTCGACAAAACATCCAGCAGAGAATCCAGGACAGAGAGAAAGATGTGAAGCTGCTCCAACAGGAGGTGGAGGCTATCAATGGCTCTGCTGATAAAACAGTGGGGAACAGTGAGAAGATCTTCACTGAGCTGATCCGTCTCATGGAGAAAAGACGCTCTGATGTGAAGCAGCAGGTCAGATCCCAGCAGCAAACTGAAGTGAGTCGAGTCAGAGAGCTTCAGGAGAAGCTGGAGCAGGAGATCACTGAGCTGAAGAGGAAAGACGCTGAACTGGAGAAGCTCTCACACACAGAAGATCACAACCAGTTTCTACACGACTACCCCTCACTGTCACCACTCAGTGAATCTACACACTCATCCAGCATCAAGATCCGTCCTCTGAGGTACTTTGAGGATGTGACAGCGGCTGTGTCAGAAGTCAGAGATAAACTACAGGACGTCCTGAGAGAGAAATGGACAAACATCTCACAGACAGTGACTGAAGTGGATGTTTTACTGTCAGAACCAGAGAACAGACCAGAGCTGAGTTCTTAAAATATTCATGTGACATCACACTGGATCCAAACACAGCACAACACTGCTGTTATTATCTGATGAGAACAGAAAAGTAACATTAATGAGAACATCAGTCTTATTCTAGTCACCCAGACAGATTCACTGATTGGCGTCAGGTCCTGAGTAAAGAGAGTCTGACTGGACGTTGTTACTGGGAAGTGGAGTTGAGAGGAAGAGTTTATGTAGCAGTCACATACAAGAATATCAGCAGAACAGGGGGCTCATATGAATGTCTGTTTGGACGTAATGACAAATCTTGGGCGTTATATTGTAACAACAGTTATTACTTTTGGTACAACAATGTCAGCACTCCTGTCTCAGGTCCTCAGTCCTCCAGAGTAGGAGTGTACCTGGATCACAGAGCAGGTATTCTGTCCTTCTACAGCATCTCTGAAACCATGACTCTCCTCCACAGAGTCCAGACCACATTCACTCAGCCTCTACATGCTGGACTCAGGTTTTATTATGTTGGAGACTCTGCTGAGTTGTGTAAACTGAAATAGACAGAAGTCATTAACGAGACAGATGTTTAACTTGCTGTGTTTTAAATCTTCAACTTGATTTTTATTCATGCTCGTTGCTGAGATCTGATCGTGGTCACCTGTCAATCAAACTTTATGGGCGGTCCTTTGACCTCTTCTCGTCTGTTCTGTAAATGTTTGAGTGTCTTTAAGTGACACTCCTTCCTGTGTCTGTTTAGCCGTGGACTCTTTCACTGCTCAGGATGACTTTTGTTCACCTGAACTGACATTTCTCTGCGTGAAAATATCAACTTCTCTCCACTCT